CCACCCCCCCCCCCCCCCCCCCCCACAGGCATCTGGACGAAGCACCTCAAAGCCAAGACAGAACTTCACCAAACTGTGATCGATCGCTGCCTGAAGTCCCTCACACAGAAAGCACTCATCAAGGCTGTGAAGTCCGTCAAGGTTCGCGCCAACTTGACACTGCGAATGTGCGTAAATGAGCTCACGCCATTGATCTCATAGTTCCCAACCCGTAAAATCTACATGCTCGCACATCTAGAACCCTCCGTAGAGATGACCGGAGGCCCGTGGTATACGGATAACGAGCTGGACACAGAGTTCATCAAGCTGCTTTGCAGCGCATGCCTACGGTTCATCCGGGACAAAGTAAGTGTAACGTACGCCCCCGTGAATCAATATACTCAATGTAAGCACCCCATTTTCAGAGCGCGCCGAAACAAAAAGGCGGAGACTCGGAATCTTCAAATCTCCTCTATCCCATCTCCGCCTCACCATCGTACCCCACCGCACAGCAGCTCCTAGCATTTCTCAGCAAGAGTCGGATCACGGAGACGCAGCTGAGCGTAGAGCACGTCGAGATGTTACTCAATGTGCTTGTCCTTGACGGTGATGTTGAACGCGTAATTCTTTCTCAGTAACGCGCTTTTGTACTTGGAACTGACACAACGCCCTTTCCGCAGGTCCCGGCCTTCGGCGCGGCGATGTGGGACACGTCTGAGGACCGCACAGGAGACGCAAGCGACGACGACCGCGAGCGCTCGCGGCGGCGCAAACGCAAGTCGCGCGACGAGGATGACTCGCCAAAGCGCAAACGCAAGCGCAGCAAACGGAGCCGCTCATCCTCCGGCTCGGACTCGGACTCTGACTCGGAGAGCGAAGACGAGAGGGAGAAGCGGAAGCGGCGCAAGAAGCGCAAAAGCCGGGACGACAGCAGTGCGAGCGAGAGCGAGGACGAGAAAGAGCGGCGTAAGCGGAAGAAGAAGCGCTCGCGGGAGACTAGCGCGAACGACGGCGAGGACGTGCAGATGAGCGACGAGGAGGGCAAGCGCAGGAGCAAGAGCCGCAGTAAGAGCAAGAAGCGGCGCAAACACGACTCCGACTCCTCCGACTCTGAGTCCGACTCGGGCTCGGACTCACGTTCACGCTCCTCCAAGTCGAAGTCGTCCCGGTCGAAAGCGAAGTCCAAGTCCAAGCGTGAGCGCTCGTTGTCCCCCGCCCCTGGGTTTTCGCAAGAGCTTGGCGGGGATGAGTTTGGTGGGGGTGGCGCGTATGTGTACCGCGCGGTGCGGCAGGAGCGCATCGCGGGCGGTTTGTCGCAGACACCTTGTGTGCGATGTCCGGCGGCCGACTTTTGCAAGCCGGGTGGGCCGGTGAACCCCCAGGAATGCACGTACTACGATACCTGGCTCATCGCAGCGGACGTAGCCAAGGGTTGAGCACGAGGGTAGCGGCAGGTCACAAATACTCAGTGTTGGCAGTATCGGAGGATACGAGTATAGTGAGTACACTCGGTTCTTGCACCGTTTGGAGTGTATTGGTGACATTATGTCTGCGTAGTAATACATGTTGGGTATCGAAGATCCTTGGTAATATACAAAGAAGTCCATCCATGAAACGTGTCATCGTCGCGCAAAGCAGAAAACACAACATGCAAGCTAAGCACTCATACCTCTGTCTCGACGTCTGGCCTTCGCGCCTTCATCTTGAAGCGCTCTTTCACAGCATGCGCACCCTCCTCGATGTTGTCCTTCAACCACTCCGCCGTGCGCGCCGGCTTCGCCTGCATGATCCCACGGTGGTCGCGATGCAGCTCCTTCTCGTGCTCTCGCCACTCCTTGACCTTCCCAATGACGCCCGGTTTCTTCTTTCCGCTGTCCGCGTCGCTGGATTCCCCAGTCTCCTCGTCCTTGTGCAGCTCGGGGTCCGCCTCCGACTCGACCTCCACATCATCCGCAGAGACTGTTGTGTTCGTGCCATGCTGCTCTTCGTCTGGCCCCGCGTTTTCCTGGTCGCCATCCTGCGCATTCACCGGGCCATCCGTCATCGTCGCGTCGGTCTTCCCCGACCCCTGCCGCTCTCCATCCTGCGCCTCCGTCTCGTGACTCTCGCTCGCCTGATGGTCCTGCGGAGTCTGCGTATCGAGCTCCCCGATCGAGTCGCGGAAGCCAGCCGCGCGCTGCCTGTCGAACTCGTCCCACGCCGCACGCTTCTTCGCCCCCGCCCCACCCAGCATCTCCTGGTGCTTCTCCGCGATGCCCGGCCAGAACGCGATCTCGAGCGTGACGGTGCCGACGCGCTCGACTTTCTCCTTGTCGCTGTCCCAGTACGCGAGATCCCCGTCGGGCGGGACGTAGTTGAGCTTCAGGCGCGAGTAGTCGCCGTCCTTGACGCGCCAGAGCGCGGCCTCGACGAGGCCCTCCGCGCGGTCGACGAGGTCGCGCAGCCAGAGCACCGCGAGCGCCTTGCGGCCGGAGCTCTTGAACCCGGACTTGTCGCGGAAGGAGACGAGGAGAGCCGTGGCGTAGCGCTGCCGCACGGCCAGCTTCGTTGCGCCGTCGTTCGCCCAGACGACCTGGTCTCCGCGTCGTTCGGCTGCCTTGCGCGCGACTTTCTCTACGGCATCCGTGGTGGTCGTCTTCATGCGGATTTCGCACTTGGCTAGGTCGATGAGGTCGGAGCGCACGGAGACGTCGCGGATCTCGAGGGTGCCTGTGTCGAAGCCGAGTAGGTTCGGCGGTAGCTTGGCCTCGACGGGGCGGAAGAGAAGTGAAATGCGGATGCGCCCGGTGCCGAGGCCCTTCTCGAGAGAATAGCACCGGGTGACTTCGGAGGCATTCACGAAGACCTCGGATAGCTGGGCAGGCCGTGAGCGTCGAAATCACTGCGAGCAGGAACAAAAACTGACCTTGAGGAACACGGTCCCGAGCACCGCGTCGTTCTCGCGCAAACGAGAATCCTTGACAGTCACCGTGACGTGCGCCTTCCGCCAATCCCTGACGAAACGCTCCGTGCCTGCATTGAACATCGGCGAGCTCGTGATCGGCTTTACGCGAGTCTCGTACACCAGTTCGTCATTCAAGGAGCTGCAACCAATTGACCGTCAGCGACTCTTCAGTACAAAAAGGATGAGCGTGGCCACTCACATTGTGCAATACGAGGACGGCAGGCCCTCGCCCTCCTCCGCCGTCTCTTCGCCGTCGTCCTGGCCCTTCTCGCCCTCGCGATGCCCGCCCTTGTGCTCCTTGCCCACCGTCTTCACCGTGAGGTCGCGGATCTCGTGCACCTGCACGCTCACGAGCCCGCTCGCCCACTCTGGGTCCGGCGGCGTCACGAGCACGGCTGCCTCGAGGTCGTTGAGCGCGACTGCGCGAGCGTCCTTGAACTCCGGCCGCTCGCGGAGGTCGTCTGGCAGGCTTGGGTCGGAGCCGTCCGTCGTGAGACCCTTGTTTGGCGGAAGCTTGCCGTAGTACCCGACGGTGTACTCGAGCGAGCCTGGTCGGTCTTGTGAGTCGGGGCTCGTCAGTGGGGAGACACGCCGTGTGGGCTTGCCCCGCTCGCGGAGGAGGTCGACGATGTCGATTTCGACGTAGCCCATCATGTCGTCCTAAGGTATAGATATGAGTGCGTGATCGATCGCCAAGGAGAGTTGCACGTACGACGCTCATGCGATCAGAGTCCCACAGCTGGAAGCTGAGCTTCTCGCGCAGCTTCACCGTGTTCACGTCGACGAGCAGAACCGCGGTCTCCTCGTACACAGGGTTGCAGTCGTCCTTGATGATGCGCGTCGAGTAGAGCGGCTTCTCGAGCCGCGAGTACGTGAGCGTCACGTACGGATCTGCTGAACATGTTCACGGGCATGGTCAGAATGGGCAGTTGCGGGCAAGGGGGACACGCACCGGAGCTGCCTGTCGTGTCCATCTTCTTGATACCAGTCGCTCTGTGGATGTGCACGACGAGGATACCGATAGCTTCCGTGTCTATATTTCGTGTAAGCAATGGAATGTAACGCCGTAGACAATAACAACTGACCTTTCTTGATATCGTCTCCGCTGATGAGGGCCTGGAGGTCCAATGTTAGACTCTTCGGGGCGACGTACTCCGCCGCGGCAGTGTCGAGGGCGCTGGAGATGAACCCAGAGATGAACGGCAAGTTCATGACGTTCGGTAGCGTTTTGCTCAGGGGTGTGGCAGAGATAGTGATGCGGGGGAGACCCATCAAAGAAACCAAAGTCGTCTTAACACTGAACGCAGGCGTCAGCGTCGATGACGCATATACTCGCATTACTCTGGCACTCACAAGGGCGGATCCGGGATGAGCTGGAGCCTTGCGCGAGCAGTCCCGACGACGCCGGTGACCTCGACCCAGACAGCTAAAGCGCATGAAATCAGCGTTATGATTTGGATCGACCACTGCACTACTTACGAACACGGAAGCCGAACACGCCCTTCATCCCGAGGAAGAACTCGACCAGCAAACTAGGCGGAAGGAATAAGCATCCCTTGTGCGAGTAGATTCATGCTACGTACTGAATGTTGCGCGCTTTGCTCGCGGCAGACTTCCCGCTTGGGAGCCCCTGGTACGCGAACGACACCTCGAGGTTGACGTGGTCGCCATCCAGAGCGTCTCGGTCGTCCGGGCTGACCGTGTCACCGTCGATGCCCATCGCGGCGAGTGTGTCTTGCGCGTCGCCGGGATTGCCGGTGTCGTGAGTCTTCGCATCAGGGAGTGACCGGATGGACGTTATGCGACCGGCGTTCGAGCCCAAACCCATGTCCGCCACGCGAACAGAATGCTGCAAATGCTGAATGAGCGGAGAGATGCAAGACACTCCGATCGGGCGAACTTACGATGAACTTCGGGACGGATGATTGCATGATGTCCTCAAGCATGTCGATGAGGGAGCTGAACAGGTCGGTGTTCAGGATCGGCCAGAGCCCACGGACAAGCGCGTTCGCCCACTCCGCGCTCTCGCGCGTGCGCTCCTCGTCGGTGACCTTGCCGTCGCCGTCGACATCTGATCCAGCTGCCAAGCCACGCATCCGCTCCGCGTGCCACATCCGTTGCTCAAAGTCTGCCTCAGAGGCCTTGTTCATGCGGAAGAAAAGGGAGTAGCTCAAGAACGCGGGTGGTATTAGACATAGCACCCGGGCGGTGACGCCAGAAAATAGCGTCGAGAAGAGGAAGGCACCAACAAATGCGGTGGCGATGTAGGTGATGCTGGAGTTTGTGATAGAAAGCATCTTGTCACGATGTTCCTTCCAGTCTGTGAACGACGATCAGTCATTGAACGCCGGAATATACGCCCAGCGCAAATAAGAGATTTCACGCCGCTAGTGACGGTTCGATAGAGTTTAGTGCAAGGAACATTTGCGCGTCCAGCCCTGATGCGGACTATGTCTTCAAAGACATGCATATAAAGATGTATGTTGGGTATGTTGGGAGTAGTGGCCGGGATAATACGAAAGTCGAACGGACTAGGATATGTACTCACCAGGAGGAGGAAATTCATGATGCAAAACATTCTCTCCCTTGGAGTGCGTGTCCGGATCTTCGTCCGCGTTGCGAATGTCGAGCTCCTCGCCGGTCGTGGGGTCCGTTACGTGCATGACATGGCCCTTCGCGAGCCTCCGCGCAGTCTTCTCGGTCTGCTTCTCCTCATGTCGGACGCTCTGGTCCTGGAGTTGCTGCGCCTTGGCTTCCCCGGCCTTTTGTGGGTTGACGAGCGACGTGAGCTTGGTGGTGATGCTGGGTACCGGGTTCTTCCCCGAGTAGGGTTCTGAGAGCTTGTGTGCCATGTTGGCAGGAGTTGTGAGGGCAGCCTGGGGTGAGGACGCAGTATATATACCGAATTTGCCGGCGCGTTCACCATAGTGTCATTGTGGAGTGCGGCTGATCAGACATATTTGGAGTCATGGAGATGTGCGGACTTCGCGTGAGTAGCAACATGAGAACCGTCGTATGTTATTATATGTCGTTGGTGATGGTGCGGATAAATTCTTCTGGTACGGAAAAGCAGGACCTGCAATAATTGGCACAGTTGAAGGAGTATGAGAGGACGTCAATTTAGACGCTAGGGGCGCCACCATGGCTTCGACGTCGAATTACGTAAGCGTGTCCCACGGCACCGATATTCACGTCCTCCCGGCAAATTCGGAACCTGCTTCGCCCTCGACCGACGACCACTACGAGACCTTGTTCGACCCCTGTAATGTGCTCGCGCAGTGGACCTTGACACAGTTTGCGATGATCGTCGGGAATCCCTGGCTGTCCAGATCGCGCACACGTATACGCACAGTCGCGTTCTCCACTCCCGAATTATAGCAGATCTGCCGACGGACATACCTCAGTTTCACCTGGACCGCCTTTTGGACGACCTGTGTTTGAGCGCGCCGAAGATGGTGGAGCGGGAAATTTGGGATAGCGCTAAGAAGGAAGACTCGCGACACATGCCCAAGGGGTATATATTTCTGAATGAGCTCGCGGTTCCTCACGAGTATGAAGCCAAATTGGCTGCCAAAACCGCGCAAAAGGACTACCTTCATCCGAACGTGAGTCAGGACGAGTACGACGATAAAGACGACTGTACTCACGACGACAGCGAGGCCCATTGAAGATGAGTGAGTGTCTCGTGATGAACGTCTTTATCGCAAAAACCTGGCCTCCTCTCAACAGGTTGTTGACGTGCGCTCGCTCGGCTGGTTATAGCCCGTTGGGCATGTCGCACGCCTCAAGAACATGACACCTGCAGCTCCGCAAGGTGAACGCCGATCCGCCCTGACTTTATCCAACACACGCGGACTAGGATGCACCGGCTTCGCTCTATTCTTACTTCGCGTCTGGGGTTCGGACCTCGCTGTACTGCACTTCCGTGGACTACGGCACCTGACTTCGACATACACTCTGGCTGGCGACATCTGGCGTCTTCATGTCGTTCCCGCCCAATACTCATCATTCCCCACGCGCCCGCGTGGACTGTTGGGAACGGTGCCTGCCTTTTCTGTGTACCCCCCTTTCGGGCCAGGTTCGGGCGTAGCCAGCACATGGGCCTCGACTGCGAACAATTTCGCGAGTTATGAGGTGAATCTAGAGCCGCATAAGGGGGAGATCCTTCGAAGAGTGTTGGCACCGGGCGCAATACGCAATACGCAATAATACACTCATCCCCACATCCGCTCATTGGGCATTGCTATCAATACGGCCATCGACAGTTCTACGTTCGCCGACCTTCGAGAAGCCGCATGGACAGACGAGAACTGGATAACGTGCATCAAAGCAGCGTGACCATCCTGCGCCTTGACCTGTCAGGTACGAGTTCTCGTTGTCCTCCACTGTCGTTCCATGCTTGCGTCGCTGTGGTCGACGTTCACATCTATACTCATTCAAGAGACGTGCCCAACATGTCCCCGGTGTGCCCAAGTTCTGCCCTTATGATCTAGGTCTATATAGCTCTACTTGTGCTCCGGAGCATCTCACTGCACTTTTCACAGCTCGCTACGTGGCAGCCTTCTCACTTGGAACCTGACGACAGAAAGGGACAGGCGTGTGCGATGAACTGCCCCAACGGGAAGCTAATCCGACCTTGTGGTGCTATTTATAGGCATGTCGCGCAACTCCTCCCATCAGGTGCAGAAGCACGTTGTCGAACTCGACCGAGTGCTTCGCGCCATCATCGACCAACTGCTCTTCGAGGAAAATGGGTAACGGATGCCTTGCGAGGTTGTCGCGATTCAATTGACATCTGCGCTCATCTAAATTGCGCATTCTCTCTTCTATGTATGCTATCTATGATCCAAATGTGTGGGGCAGCTTTCCGGCGGCGGTCTGTTGGCGCCTTAGTTCCTGGTGGTACAGCCCAAGCATGCCCTCTGCGACTGAAGCTTGTAGCCCCGCCACTTGGAAATTTACCCATGGATCGTCTGCCGACGAGCCCGGAACCATGTCCCGCGGTACGGTACGTATGCTCCGCACCATGCGCTCGCTGGCGTTGACTTACGCTTCTTTCCCAGGACAGCTCGCGTCTCCATCACCGCCGACAGTGGAACCCATGAGCCTCGAAGATGCGTGGAGCACGTATGTCCGCTTGTCCGATGAGAATTACCCCGCCTGCTTCGTGCTTCGCGGTATAAGAGCCTCGCCCATTCATTGACCATCCCCATCGGAGCTCCCGCTCAGACATCCTCTCTCCTCAATCCCCCTCCCCCCTCTAACGGCAGACATGTCCCGCGGCTTCTCCAGCTCCTTCTTCTCCCTGCTCCTGCTCGCACTGAGCGTCGCCGTGACTGCGAGCGCGACACCCGTCGTTCAGGTCCGCGACAACCTCGTGCGGCTACCGTTCGCGAAGCGGGTGAACTTCACCGGCTCGAGCAAGCTCATCGAGCGTGACCAGGCGCGCGTCCGCAACCTCCGTGCGCGTGCGAACGCGAAGCTCAGTGGGCTCACCCTCACCGACGACGCGGTTGTCAGCGTCCCCGTGGACAACCAGGTCGTGGACTACGTCGCGAACGTAAGCCATTACGGGGACTAAGAGTTTGGAATTCTTGGCTCACAATTTGTTTAATGTGCCTAGGTCCAAGTCGGCACGCCCCCCACCACGTGTATGTGCTTCGTTCGGCGAAAGCGGACGAGAAGACTGACTGACGCGTCGTATATGCGCCGCAGACTCGCTCCTTATCGACACCGGCAGCTCTAACACCTGGGTCGGCGCTGGCAGGTCGTTTGTGCAGACTTCCTCATCCCGTCAAACCGCCGACCGCGTGGTGCGTGTCCTAGCTGACGGGAGTTCCTGATCACTATATTGATCGCGCCTGCGTTCTTTCCCAGTCTGTGACGTATGGCTCCGGCGACTTTTCCGGTACGTGCTTCGTCGTCCTAGAGTGCGCGCATGTATATTAATACACACCCTGGGGTGTAGGCACTGAGTTCACAGACACTGTCAGCCTTGGGCCCGGTCTGACCATCACCGGCCAGTCCATTGGCGTTGCGGCTCGTTCCGATGGCTTCGATGGCGTCGACGGTATTCTTGGGTACGTCCCGCAGTCTCTAAATGTGTCTTCTAGATTCTCATGGCCTCATGTACTATCAGTATCGGCCCCGTCGACCTGACTGTTGACACGCTCTCTCCCGACACTCGGTCGACGATTCCTACCGGTGAGCTTACATTGCCTATCTAACGTCCTCGCACATACGGGCAGGGCTGACCAAGGCGGCTTTCGACAGTGACCGACAACCTCTTCTCGCAAGGCCTCATCACACAGAACCTGGTCTCTGTCTCGTTCGAGCCGTCGCAGCAGGAGGACAACGTGAACGGCGAGCTCACCTTCGGCGGCACGGACTCCTCCAAGTTCACCGGGTCGATCAACTTCGCGTACGTCGCAGCGCCCTGTGCGTGGGATGCGGCAGCGCTAACCAGAAAATGATGTCACCCCTTCGCATGTGCATGCGCTGGGTGTGTGAACGCATTTTCTCTCTTGTAGGCCGCTCACGCGCACGTCGCCCGCGTCCGAGTTCTGGGGCATCAACCAGTCGATCCGCTTTGGCACGAACGCGAACATCCTGTCCAGCACCGCCGGCATCGTCGACACCGGCACCACCCTCACCCTCATCGCCACCGGTGCGTTTTCCCAGCCTACTGCGCTGCTCCGCGCGTCGTACTGACTGAGACCGCGCGGGTTCTGTAGACGCTCTGACCCGGTACCAGCGTGCTACTGGTGCCGTGTTCGACAACGCGACGGGCCTGTTGCGCATCACCCCCGCCCAGTTCGCGAAGCTGCAGAGCCTGTTCTTCACCATCAACGGGGTACGCTCCCGCCCCTCCCATCCGTCCCCACCGCCTTGGCTGACATGTCCATTCCGTAGGTCAACTTCGAGTTCACGGCCAACGCCCAGATCTTCCCGGTAAGCCTCTCCCTCCTCACGCCCGCCGCATAGCGCCTGACTCGCGCTCCTCGCTCCAGCGCGCGCTCAACACCGCGATCGGCGGAAACGCGAACAGCATCTACCTCATCGTCGGCGACATCGGCACTCCTAGCGGTGAGGGCCTCGACTTCATCAACGGCCAGACGTGGCTCGAGCGCTTCTACGCCGTTTTCGACACCGCGAACCGCCGCGTCGGCATCGCCAATACTCCCTTCACGACCGCGACGAGCAACTAGACGGCTGTACATGGGTCTTTAAGCATCGACGATATCGATGAAGTAGACGGTCACTGGGCGTGTGAGGCGCGCGGGCCTAGTTGTAGGGTGTAGGTTCTGCTGGGTTGTTATTGTGTAGTCTTGGTGCATGTATTTTACTGTCGGTAACGAGAGTGACCCTTTCGGGCCCTGCAACGTCGATCTAACACCCACAGCGCGGGGACGGACTATACGGACTATACGCGTGATTTTCAAAAGGAAATCCAAGTTCTTGGAATAAAGCACAGCATACACAAGGTGTCCACACGTCCGCCACCACCTAGACCTCCCGAGCGTAGCGCTTCACCAAGAGCGGCATCTGAGCTCCTCGTTCCGGCGCGCTCCGAAGCTGGGGGCGCTGGACCACGCTCGTCTTCTTCTCGATCTCCTCGGGCGGGACGGCGAGCGCAAACTCGAACGCGCGCACGAGCACGAAGATCAGCGCCTTCGTTCTGCGAGAGCCATGAACAGGTCAGAAAGGAACGAAAGCGCGGAGCAGCGCCGGGAGGGCTCACTCGACGACTGAGAAGCGGTATCCGATGCACGCGCGCGGACCGCCGAGGAAAGTCAAGAGGTGACTCCAAACGCCGGGAACGCTCGCGGCGGCTTCGGAAGGGGACTCCCAGCGCTCAGGCCTGCGATGTACATATTAGTGACCAGCCTGTAAGGAAGGTGGCGCGATGGAGAAAAAGGGTGCGCACTTGAACTGGTGGGCATCCTCGCCCCAGTACTTCTTGGACCGGTTAAGCGCGAGGATCGGAATGAGGATCGAAGCTCCTTTAGAAATCCTATGGTTGCGATTTATTCTTCAGTGACCATTGATGTTGATGAAAGGGTGGCACAACCTACCTGATACTGTCCTGCACTTGTCCGAAGCGGTCGACGAACGGCTCGCTGACCGGGATTACATCGTCCTTCTCCGCGACACGCATCGTCTCCGGCACAGGCGCATACAGGCGTAGCGTCTCGCGGACGACGCAGTCGAGATATGGAAGGCTATTGAGCTGGTCCATGGTGGGCGTGTCGGTCTCAATCGTGAAGAGCTCGTCGCGAAGCTTTTTCTGTACGTCGGGGGCCTGCGTAAGGGCATATAGGCACCAAGTCGTCGCTGTGCTCGTTGTATCATGTCCGGCCGCGAGGAAGCTGCATGAGGATATCAGTACCAGATAATCAGATTGAAAGCGTCGATGTCTCTCACGTAGGAACCTCTACGGGTCAGGTTAGAGTGCGCGATGAGATAAAAAAAACATGGTACGCACGGGCTAGAACGTCCTCGTCGGAGAGCCTCTGATTGTCCGGAACGTCGGTGGAGATGTTCGCCTTGAGGAGCAGCGTGAGCAGGTCGCGTCCCTGGAGGTCATTCCTCTTCACGCCGCTCTTCTCCTTGTTTTCCGTAAGCTCCTGCTGGATGCGAGCCTTCTTCTCTGCGATGAGCTCCTTGCCCACGCGCCTCATGACCTCTCGCGCGCGTTTGACGCGTGTCGAAGCCTCGTCCGGCTGACAAGACGTTCAACTATCGAGCTAGAGCGGAGAAGGGCAATGGCGACTCACGATGATATCCAGCACGGGGAAGAAGTTCTTGAGGATCATGAGGACGGTGAACTTGCGCTCGGGAAGGAAGAGGTCTTGGAAGGCTTCAGTGAGTTCATTCGTCTTTTCCGTAGGGTTAAGCGAGTTGAAGCTGTAGCCGAACCCTGATATGCGCATGCAATGAGGTAGAAACGCAATGTTCATTTCGGGGCGCCGCTGGACGTACCTGCCAACCCGATGACATCGAGAGTCATCTTGCTGAGACCGCTGCAAATTTCGATACGGGCAGTGGGCTCGCCGTCTCGTGAGATTTGCGCATCCCAGAAGTTCCGAAGCTATACAGAAGCCATGTCTGTCACTGTGTTTCTGCCATTAGATTGATAACTCGGAGGACATACTTCAATGGACTTTTGGACGAAGATCTCGGTGAGCTCGCGGATTTGCGTGGGTCCGAACGCGGGGTTCTGTGTGATAGTCAGTATAGCCCCGCACTTGAAATTCCCATCTGAGTAATCACCATGATGCGTCGCTGGGTTGGTAGTCAGTTGCGTGGAAACATACCCAAAGGGAACGTGAAGCGCACCTGACGTCTGTGGTGTTCCCCTGAGAGCGGATAGTCAGTCAGTATATGTATGGACTACCGAAATATTGGGTGAGCATCGTACCCTCAGTGAAGAGGACACCTACGGTGTGATACGTTCAGTTGGATGTCTGGTACGAGAACGTCATCGCAATCGTCTCACCTTCCCCGAGGACCTTAGCAAGGTTTCTCCGAGCAACAATAGGCTTCTGATAGTCCACAGAGTGCGTCAGGATGTGGTTCAACGCCCGGGTATCGATCGTATACAAGCGATCGTTCTGTGCGTATCCGTGTGTCAGAATTCACGAATCTCCACCTCTGCGTACTCAGGATGAATCACTCACATTCAAGAAGTTCTTGTACACGATGTTAGGACCATACTTGTCAATCCACCGCTCCTGTACAGCGGACCTCTCTTCTGCATTGATTTCCTGGAAGTTGCCGTAGAACCAGCTGGGGCTGGGCGGCCCCGGGAGGTTCCTGAGCGCAGTGGCCGTCCAGCGCGGCAAGAGCGGCCAGGCTTTCCATAACACCACCCCTATGAACCCCAAAAGAGTCAGGAGGGTGGCTGCTACGGTCGGTATCATAGCAGACGGCGGACAGGTCGGTGTGGGAACGAATGAAAGACTCGGAGTGAAGTCGATGATAAGCGGGCGAAGCTAGACGATGTCCGTGCGCTGTGCGGGAGACAAGACCTGAACGCACCGTCCTTTATATACCAGCCCCGCAGCGGCAGCGCACCCAGCCTAACTATCGTTCGACACGCATGACTGAGATGGAATTAGACGTTCGGCTTCGTGTCCCGGCGCTGGGCGCACCTATATATCTCGGCAATCTGGAGGGTTGAACGTGAATTCACAGCCACCGCAGCTGCTTCGATCATGGTCCCCTGACACGGTGGGAAGACGCCCTGTCCAAGGTGAGGACCCCCGCGGGGCAGGTCGCCCATCAACCCCCCGCAAACTCTCCCCTGCAAAGGCACGTCCCTGCTGTACTACTGCCCGCAGACGCCCGTAGTTACAGCATTATGAGCACGCTTGAGTATGTTCCTTCAGAGCCTCCAGGACCTGGTCTTTGAGCTGGGAAGAAGTCGCTAATCAACCAAGATAATACGCAGGCGCAATTGCCACTGTAGTCATACACCAACGACCGAGCTATCGATACTACACACCGGGCCTAATCACTGAGCACGCTTGTACCTCCGGATGAGCAGCGGCATCTGGCTGCCCTGCTCGGGTGCGCTGCGAAGGAGTGGCCGCTGCACGATGCTCGTCTTCTTCTGAATCTCGCTCGCAGGCACCGCAAGCTCGAATTCGAATGCGCGCACGAGCGCGAACAGTAGAGCTTTCATCCTGCGGGAGTAATCAGGTGTTGTTGAGGTAGCAAGTGGAAAGGAAGGAGACGCACTCAATGAGCGAGAAGCGGTACCCGATGCACGCGCGCGGGCCACCGAGGAAGGACAGCATGTGGCCCCACACACCAGGAATGCTCGAAATCGCCTCCGGGGGGTTAATCCAACGCTCGGGCCTATGGTACGTGCTGGAGTCAGCTGGGATGAAGCGCGACACCCAACGGAAACGCACTTGAACTCGAGCGCGTCCTCGCCCCACAGCTTCGTCGACCGGTTCAGCGCGAGCATGGGGATGAGGATCGGGCTGCCCTTCGAGATGCGGATGCTGTCGCACACGTTTCCGTGCCGGTCGACGAACGGCTCGCCGACCGGGATCACGTCGTCCTTCTGCGCCACACGCATCGTCGACGGCACGGGCGCGTGGATGCGCAGAGTCTCGCGGACGACTGCGTCGAGGTACGGGAGGCTGCTGAGTTCTTCCATTGTCGGGGCTTCGGTTTGGAGGGTGAATAGCTCGTCGCGCAGCTTCTGCTGGACCTCTGGGGCTTGTGTGAGGGCGTAGAGGCACCAGGTGGTCGCGGTGCTCGTTGTCTCATGACCGGCGACGAGAAATCTGTCATGAAACGTGAGCACGCAGATCCTTGACATATGGTGGATATGCCTACGTCGGAACCTCTGCGCAACTGGGTAAGCACAGTATACTCAAAGCGGATGCAAGAGTACTCACGAGCAAGTACGTCTTCATCCGAGAGCCTCTGGCTGTCAGGGATGTCCGTCGCCATATTCGCCTTCAAGAGAAGAGTCAGCAGATCCCGCCCCTGCATGTCCTTCCTCTCGACGCCGCCGCTCTTGCTGTCCGACATTTCGCGTGCGATCTGCGCCTTCTTCTCCTGGATAAGGCCAATTCCAATGCGGCGCATAACGTCTTGCGCGCGGTCGATCCGTCTTGCGCGTGCGTCAGGCTGACAGCTCAAATCAGCTCAAGTCGTTCGCATACACCAAGCTGTACTACTTACGATGACATTGAAGATGGGGAACACGATCTTAAGGAAGGTGAGGATCGTGAAGTTGACCGAGGGATTGAACACCTCTTGGAAGGCCGCATTGAGCTCGTTTGGCTTTCCGCTGAGAGAGTCGAAGCGATAGTTGAAGCCTACAAGGGACGGGGTTGGCGAACACCGCAGCAATAACCGACGGAGCGTACGCACCAGCCAAGCCTATGACATCCAGAGTCATCTTGCCTAGACCCGATAGGACTTCGATGCGTGCTGGCGAGCCGTCTGCTGCGATCTGGGCGTCCCATACGTCTCGAAGCTACGGGTCGCATTCGTGCTCAGATCGGGGACGTGTTGTGTGCAATATAGAACATACCTCCGCCGCCTTCTCGACAAAGATAGGTGTTAGCTCGCGGATCTGAGAAGGGCCGAAGGCGGGGTTCTGTAAGACAGCCTACGTTAGGCACGTGTGTCTATTACACGCCGATACGCGCTTTCCATACCATTATACGTCTCTGTAGGCATTATATAAGCCTAGGGAAACGATGAGGCTGAGTGGATGAACATACCTGCTGTCTGTGTTGCTCCCCTGACGATGTGAGGATAAGAATCGGTGGTATGCTCATCTATGCACCTATCGGGACGTACCTTCGGTGAAAAGGACACCTGAAACCAAGGTAAAGTGTTCATCGGAGACTCAACGAATGAATATGACAATTGTCACTGACCTTTCCCGAGTATCTTCGCCAGAGTACCACGAGCATCATCCGGCTTCTGGAACTCCGCCGAGTGCGTAAGGATATGATTTAGCGCGCGGGTGTCCAAAGTCCACAGGCGATTGAGCTGCAAAGTCCCCGACCCACATTCAGCTGGCGCAGATCGCGGATAGAGACTGGACCTCTTACACCGAGGAAGCCTTTGTAGGTGATCACTGGTCCGTGTTCCGCTGCCCAGCGCTCCTGCGGGACGGAGTTGTCCTCTTGCTGGATGACTTTGATGCTCCCCCAGAACCAACTGGTGCTGCGCGGCCCCGGGAGGTTGTTGAGGGGCGAGACATATCCTCGATACATAACATGGCCTAGCTTCCCTATCACTAAGGCTGCGACCACCACGAGGGCCGCGAGGACGAGTTGCACGAGTGAGAGCAGAATCGTCATGGCGGTAGCGGGGAGGGATGTTGGGTCAGTGGTCTCGCCGTCCTTTCTCTTGATGTACTGATCAAGTGACGGCTTCAGCGACGGCAGATACTGCGCGTATACATGTGCCTGAGCTACGCTATACAGTGCGCTTTCAATGATGGGGAGAGGGGAACGTGGGCACACGCGGCAACACGGGCGCTGCGTGGCGATGCCGACCAGCATAGCCTCGTCATCCCCTATTTCGCGACTGTCTAAGTTCTGGTTCCGGACCAACCCCATCATTTCATTTTGTCAGCATTTGAAGCTGGACTTGTCTACATAGTATCGGGCTTAAGTATTCATTCACTCACTCTTAGGTGCCCACTGCCCGCTGCTGTGCGGCATCCAGCCACTGAACTGCGATTGAAGCCGTGCAGGCTAAATACTAGCGATCGTCAGTGACGAGGTTGCTCGCTACGCACATGAGCACTCAGGCTGCATCCGAGTGGAGCACGCAGGCTGCATTCGAATAGAGCACGCAGGCTAGATCAGAGTAGAGCATGCAGGCTAAATCCGAGTGCCAAACAACATATAGAAAAGACGCTATGCATGTACTACAGCAGGGTATCTACGAGAAATGTCATTTTTCCGATATTCAAGACCTTTTCCCCCAAATGCATCGACCATCTATTGTGTTGTGCTGTATTGAGCCACACGCCGTGCAAGCCACCGAGGTCAATGTTTGACCGTGGCCGCATCCGCAACCTCCCAGTGTGGCTTGGAATCGGCGCGCCGGCGCCTAATTGCTGCTCCCCTTGTGCAGGGCGTATAGTTGAGATCTCAGCAACCACTGCAGCTACGGGCATGCGAATTTCCACAAATGTGTATATATCGGTATAGAACTGGGAAATCACGTTATAATCGCGATATACGATGTGCATGTATCTATATTCCCGTCTGGAGGTCTGGCACGCAGCCACAATTTGCGAAACGTGAAGTTTGGCTTTGTTTGGCCGTTCGTGTTCACCAGTAATGCTCGCTACGCTCGCAACTAGTCATACACCGACGGTCGATCCATAGATACAACATACCCGAGCAACTATCACTGAGCGCGCTTGAACCTCCTGACAAGGAGCGGCATCTGGCTGCCCTGCTCGAGAGCGCTGCGGAGGAGCGGCCTCTGCACGATGCTTGTCTTCTTCTGAATCTCGCTTGCTGGAACGGCAAGCTCGAACTCGAACGCGCGCACAAGTTCGAAGAGCAGTGCCTTCATCCTAAAGTTATTGTGAGTAATGGAAGTGATGCATATGTAAAGTTGAACGTACTCGACGAGAGAGAAACGGTATCCGATGCATGCGCGGGGGCCTCCGAGGAAGGAGAGGATGTGGCCCCAAACCCCAGGGATGCTTGAGATTGTCTCTGGGGGATTGATCCAACGCTCAGGCCTACGGAACGTATTACATTCAGCTACAGCATAACACACTCTCTAGCAAGTACTCACCTAAACTCGAGAGCGTCCGCACCCCACAGCTCCGTCGACCGGTTGAGCGAGAGCACGGGAATGATGATCGGGCTGCCCTTCGAGATGTGGATGCTGTCTTGTACCTTCCCGTGCCGGTCGACGAATGGTTCGCTAACCGGAATGACGTCGTCCTTCGTGGCGACACGCATCGTCGTGGGGACCGGCGCGTGGATGCGCAGGGTTTCGCGGACGACCGCGTCGAGGTACGGGAGGCTGCTCAACTCATCCATCGTGGGGGCTTCGGTCTGGAGAGCGAAAAGCTCGTCGCGCAGCTTCTTTTGGACATCGGGGGCCTGCGTAAGTGCATATAGACACCACATAGTCGCGGTGCTCGTCGTTTCGTGGCCGGCGACGAGGAATCTGTCAATAAAGGTGAGGATGCGCGTACGCGATACGGAGAGAATCTACGTACGTCGGAACCTCTGCGCGATGGTGTTAGCAAAAAACCGTCTCAGGTGATACAAGAATACTCACGAGCGAGCACGTCTTCATCCGAGAGCCTCTGGTTGTCAGGGATATCTGTCGCCATGTTCGCCTTCATGAGCAGCGTGAGCAGATCCCGCCCTTGGACATCCTTCCGCTCCACGCCGCCGCTCTTGCTCTCGGACATCTCGCGCGCGATCTGCGCTTTCTTCTCCTCAATAAGCTGGAGACCAATGCGGCGCATGACGTCCTGCGCGTGGTCTAAACGCTTCGCGCGCTCGTCGGGCTAGCAGACACAGTTCAGCACGAGCATTTGGGGGGCGCTTGAATACTCACGAAGATATCGAGGGCGGGGAACACGTTCTTGAGGATCGTGAAGATGGTGAAGTTGGCGCCTGGGTTGAACACTTCTTGGAAGGCTGTGTTTAGTTCGTTTGGCTTGCCGCTCAAGGAGTCAAAGTTGTAGTTGAAACCTAAATCGGTCACCGTTAGCGAACGGTGTAGATAGTGAACCATAGAATGTACGTACCAGCTAGGCCGATGACGTCGAGCGTCATCTTGCTCAAGCCTGACAGCACCTCGATGCGCGTCGGCGAATCGTCTACTGCGAGCTGAGCATCCCAGACATCTCGAAGCTGCGCATTTGGCGTGTTGAGTTAGATGGGATGGGCTTGTGTGTTCGACATGATGCATATACCTCTACAGCCTTCTGGACGAAAATGGGAGTCAGTTCGCGGATCTGCGCAGGGCCGAAGGCCGGGTTCTGCAAGATGGCTTGGGTGAGATTTAAGTGCTTAGCGTTTGTCGCGTTCCGTACCATTATGCGCCTCTAGAAATATCAAGTCAGTATACAGCGAAGATCAAAGACGAGCGGAGAACCACACCTGTTGTCTGTGTTGGTCCCCTGAGCGTATTAGATACAGAATTCAGTAAAAAGGTCCTAGTACGAGATTATTGATGTGTACCTTCGGTGAAGAGGACACCTGAGAGCAAGAAAAAGTGTTAGTCTCATTCAACAGACGTGCGTTGAAGACGAGCCCTAGCTCGTTTCTTGAGCGATGTTCATTACTAACCTTTCCCAAGTATCTTCGCCAGATTCCTACGCGCCGCCTCAGGCTTCTGGTAGTCTGTCGAGTGCGTGAGAATGTGGTTCAGCGCGCGCGTGTCCGTCGTCCATAACCGGCTGAGCTACACAGTGACCGGCTTCAGTCGGTGCCAGTCGCGTGAAGAGGAAGTCCCACTTACACCGAGGAAGCCTTTGTAGGAAATCACAGGGCCGTACTCGGCTGCCCAGCGCTCTTGGGGGACGGAGTTGTCCTCGTCCTGGATCGCCTTGATGTTTCCGTAGAACCAGCTAGGACTGGGTGGTCCCGGAAGGTTCTTGAGGGACGATGTGTAGGCCCGAGATATCATAGGCCATATTTTCCAGAACGCGAGGGCTATGAGGCCCACCAACGAGGCGAGAGCAGTCTGTCCAAGTGAAAGCATCGCAGCGGCAGTTGGGAGAGGCTGAGAGCAAGCTGAGGGGGAACCGATGAAGCTCTTCCTACTGCCCTCTCATACCCTTATATGCGGATAGATTGACGGTGTCCCTTCCGACCGAGAAGGCGTACGTGTCGTGATGTTTACGCAGTGGCTGGAGTGCGTACGCGTCGCTGGATATGCCGGACGGTGAGGGAGAGATGTGGGAGGTTCGTGCGCGCCGCGCGCCGGCAATGGGCGGCAAAGGGGAGTGCACAGCCACATATACCCGTACCCCGCGAAAGTCGGAGCCCAGCTTCCGGGCCAACCTCCTCCTGCCTTTTTGTCAGCAACTGTGGACATGCGATTCGGGCTATCATTTGCCGGCACGAACGGACATACCAGGTCGTATCGAGGATCCCGAAAAGCAAGTAGATTGATGGTACTTATGTACGGAGTTGCGCAGCTCGACCGACTCGGCGTGCTCGATGAGCCTACTCCAACGTCGCAGCGCTTACAAATTTCACTTTTGACGTGACGATCTGCGAGCTTTCTCGTGTTGATTCCAAGGTACGTACAATGGTACAATTTGGGCACCACATCACATCTGCTCTGATCTTCGAAAGCATCCGGCAGACATCAGGTACTGCGTTCGTGTTGTGACCCGCCCACATAAACACGGTGCTCCCAGAGCCATGTCATCTATCTGCAAGACCTGATCCTGTGACAAGCCTAGGCGAATCGCTCAACTCTTCCTGAGAATGCTCGACGATGCAAACCAAGATGTTTTGAGCTCTGAGCTCAAAGTGCGAGGACGGTCGTCGAGTACCGCTGTATGGAGACGCGCAAGATACCGTCTTCAAGATACCCGCCTGTGAGTTTTACGCCAGCCCCCTACTACTCGAAACTGCTCTCCCCACCCGGCTCGCCGTGAGCATGTCGTTCACAGTGATGAGCGTGCCAAAATATTCGCTTACGACTGCACGCATTTCAAGCCATTCAAACGGCAGAAATATGGTAGGCGCCAGGAAGTCACGTACGGAACGCCACCCCGGTGTGGCCGTCTCCGTGCACCATTTCGCGTCTGAACTGCTTACGGTTTTGCATTGCATCAGTACGCCGCCGTCATAATCTGAGCACGTCGTGGCTACGCGCACCTTTGGTGTCTTGGACATGCGATGTACTGATAGTCCCCTCTGGCATCTAGGCAGCGTCCTCGAGCTTCAGTTGCGCACGATTGATGATCGCTATACCTTTGAAGGCACAGAGAGCTACACCCGCTGGAACCGACTACTTCCTCCGGCCAGCCCCATGCAGCGCACTGTGCGGCACCTCGAATATCTATGGGCGACGCCGCGCAAGGATGTTCGATTGTCACGACAGTGGGCCTATTCGCAAATTCTTCCACGTGTCAGTTGCAGTACTTATGCGCGAGTGAGGCAGAATAGAACGCCGGCGTATTCCAAGAGGTGAAGACGACCGCAACAGCGAATACTGTACGTTCGAGTCCCAAACTGCATGCAAGCCTTTGTTGGTGGTACGAGAGAGAAGAGCGATGCCAGCGGAAGCGCCCGTGTTCACTACCCACTCCTGAGTATGATCTGTAGTCTCCCTCCAAGAAGCCCCATGGTATAACATTGCACGGCCCCGATGATACAAACAACAGCAAGATAATGATATATACTCCCGGTACATCTCGTGTCACAGCTCAAGCGCCATACTCCGGAGGAGGCACGTCTGTGCCATACACCGACTGCCGCGGCGGACGTGTGGCCATGCGCTCCGCGAGGAGGTGTATGATTCTGTCCACCGTGGCGTTGGGATCGGGATTCGACTCCGCCGGGGATGAGGCGTGCGTCGTCGTCGGCGAGACCACCGCAGCCGCCTGCGCGGCGGAACCATGCGCAAGAGAGTGATCGGAGACCGTGCGCCCGGACTCAGACGGCGCGGACGATGATGCGGAACCAGAGGGGAGCGCGGGCAGGGCGCGTGTTTGGGACGGTACATAGCCGTCCGAGCCGATCGCCAGTATGGACAGCTTCGTGTCGCCTCGGGGCGGCGTATATGGGCTGCGCTGCGTCGGGACAAACGGGCTCGCCTCCACCATGGGCGCGGCGGTGGAGGGCGTGGCGAGGAACGGGGATGGCTGTTCGCGGTCGAACACTTTCGGGTTCTGCCGCCTGCGGCGGGCGAAGTACCAGAGGAGTCCGGCGATGAGCGCGACGAAGGCGAGGCCGCCAATGACGCCACCCGCGATGGCGCCAGTATTCGTCTTTGAGTGTCCCGCGGAGGAAGGGGCGTCGGATGTTGTGCCCCCTAATGGCTGAGTGCTCGAGGAGGGCGCACTAGAGGAGACACTTAAGACACGCAGCTCTCAGTGGCAAGACTCGTGCATGCGACATACCTGATAAGTCCGCCAACTTCTGAAGGATTATCGGTAAAGACAGTGACTGTGTTCAGCCAGAACTTGAGGCCAGCGCCGACGGTAGGCAGAACGTTGATGGTGTGGGTCTTGGTGGGATCCAGCCCGTCCTGATAGTACAGGAGCGCGTCTCCGATGAACCACATCGTGCTCGCGTTGTAGGTGACTGCCGCTTGGTCGTCGAGCGTCTGCAAAAACCGCGGGTCGGCACTCCGCCCGCCAGAGACCGTAGAGCAGGACTTACGACGTCGTACGCATAGCTGCCCCAGATGCGCGAGCCGTTGATCGCAACACCTACGCCCTGGAAGGAAAAAGAAAATGAGGCCGGGGCGTTCTCGACCTCGAAGTAAGGAGCGGGATGTTGCTGATTGGGGATGAGGGGATCGTTGAGGACGGTCCAGTTGCCGGAATATTGGATGAACGATGTGTTGGTGGCTTGATATACATGGGCGGTGGGTACCTGTGCACTGCGACAATCGTCAGTTGCGCAAGTAGCGAGAGTTTGGCAGAGTCAGAAGAAGACGAGCATTGTACAGCGCGCCCAGTGATGTCGATGAGGAGGCGGCGGGCGTCCGGTAGACACGTGCTGTGTAAGCGCTGGAATATATTTGTGGGGCGTGGAATGTACCGGAGCGAACGGATTGGTAAGGGAGGGGAGTAGGGCTATATGCACAGTGCGGTGGGGTGTATACACAGTGCGGTGGGGCCACGCAAGGAGAGACTCGCGCGCGGGACTTGGGAAACGCGGTCGCGCGATCGGGCGTCTAAAGAGCGCACAGCGTACGGGGCGCGGCAACACGCTCTCTGCTTTCGACCACGATGTGCTACTGCTACGTCTACAATGTACGACCCTCGCGCCTCGCCTGCACCTCTGTTGCACGCCACATCCCGTCAACTCATTGCGTCGTCTCCCTTCTGCTGGTGGCTCGGACGCGTTCGCGCGGACTCTGCCTCTTCGACCGGCGCGAAAGAAGACTGTGGGTCCGTACGACGTGCTGCGACTGCCTGGAACCCCTGGAGATGATCAGCCGCGCTCAGACACGCTGACAAGGTATGTGCGTACCTGGG